ATGCATAGGTCCATTTCTGAACTCTTTCTTCTTTTCCATTATGTATCATCTGTTCCTGAATATATTCCATACTGTTTTGATTACTGTATCTTTAAAATCTATTTTGACGTTTGATAAGACAGGTTCTCCTTTATTTTTTTTAAACTAAAATTATCTTGAATATGCATACTGACTTAACTTCCAAGTGAATTTTAGAATCATCAAGTTTTATTTTGAAATAATATTGATATTTTGATCGGGATTGCATTGAACTTATAAATTTATTTGGGGAGACATCTTGTCTTCATAAGATGTCACATATTTATTGGTTGGTTTATTTCAAAGTATTTGAGGGCTTCGTTGCTATTACAAATGAAATCTTTGTTCCATTATATTTTTCTAACATGTTGTTTCTCCTTGGAGGGAAGCTATATATCTTTTAAAGTTGATCTTGCCTTAGTCTCCTATCAGTTACAATAAATCATTTTTCAGTTCATTCTCTTGTATATTCTCAATAGGTAATTATATTATCTACAAATATTGATGAATTTCCCCATGTAAACATACTTGCAATATTTTTTTTTAAATTTCCTGATGCTATGTGTGTATCTTTATGTTGTTGATTTCTCATTTTATTACATTTTTGATCAGATGATATAGTCTGTATGATGATAATTGTTATAATATATTGGTATTTCTTTTTTGACATAATGTGTGGTCATTTTTAGAAATTTCTTATTTATGGTTAAAAATAATATTATTGAAGATGCTCACTATGATTTTGGATTTGTGAATTTCTGTTGGTAGTTTTATCAGTTTTTGTTATGTACATATTTTGAAACTATCTTATTAGGTGCATAAAGTTTCTTGACTTTTATATTGGTGATATTGTCATTTGAGCAACATAAATTTTTTTATAATTTAAAAAATTAAAATCTATTTTTATCAAGGAATCCCTGGGTGGCATAAATGGGTAAGTGCTTGACTACTGGCTAAAAGGTTGGTGGATCGAATCCACCCAGAGGTGCCCTGGAAGACGGACTTGGTGATCTACTTCTGAAAAATCAGCCATTGAAAACCTTATGGAACAGGTCTACTGTGCACACGTGGGGTTGGCATGAGTCAAAATTGAGTCAACGGCGATGAGCAACAACACATTTTTATCAAAATAATACATGTACATAGTTTAAAAAGTCAAATAGTATGACAAAGCCTTAAATGAAAAACAGCAATCCCATCTCACACCTCCCCACTCCTCCAAGTTGTATTCCAAGAGATCAATTCATTTTTACTTTAGTTGATTTGTTCTTGTTACTTTTTAAAAAACATCATTAATTACTATTTTAAAAACTTCAATTTATCTATTGATTTCCTATGGAAAATGTAGATCTAGCTCTCTTAACATGCACCTTACTTCATCTCCCCTCTCCCTGCACACTTACACTCTCCTGACTTCTCAATCCAGATCTATCACAATTAAATCAATATTCAGTGCTTACCTTAATGTCTGTATGGTGTTATTGTTCCTAACTGAGACAAAGAGTATATCACAAGTGTTTTTATATCCTGTCCAACTTTTAATTATTCCCCAGTGCTAAAAAATGCTTTCTATGTCGCAGGCACTAATTCATCACTCCCATTAGAGCTGCAAATCTTCTGTCATTACCAGGGCCTCAGACTGGTTCCTTCTGTTCGAACCCCTGCTGAGAATGTACATTCCTAACAAGTTCCCAGGATGTTATACATAAGAATCACCTAGGAATCTAGTTAAAATGTTGATTCCGATTCAGTATATCTAGGGGTGGAAAAGCAAATTCTCAGCAGGGAACTTGTTAGAAATGTAAACTCTCAACAGAGGTTCAAACCAGAACAAACCAGTTCAAAGTCATGGTCATTACTGCCAAACATATTAGTCTTATCAGTTTTTTTTGTTTGTTTGTTTGTTTATTTGTTTGGTTTGGTTTTTTTTGAGACATCTTTCCGGAGCTATTTTTTTTCTCTTTCTAGAAGCTAATTGGTGGCTTTCTAGGCCTACTGTATAGCTGTTTTGCTGGAGCTTCTCTTTACCAGAATACATCTGTTGTTATATTTTTAAATTGCCAACAGCCCTTTCTTATTATCTGAATGTTCTCTAACTTTTTATAGCATCCTGGTCTTATTTCATGGATTCAGTAACTATTCATAATTCTAAATAACTAATTATAGATTTTTTAACTTAATTTTTTTGTTATTGTTGAAAATATACATAGCAGAACATACACCAATTCAACAATTTCTAGATGTACAATTCAGTGACATTGATTACATTCTTCAAATTGTACAGCCATTCTCACTCTCCTTTTCTGAGTTGTTCCTCCTGCATTAATGTAAGCTCACTGCCCCCTAAGTTTCTTATCCAATCTCTCGAGTTGCTGTCGTCAGTTTGGTTACATATAGCTAGTTCTTTAAACAGCACAATGCTCAAGGCAGACATTCTTTATAATTAAAATAAACTACTGTTTGGTTTAAAGAAGACTTCAGGGAATATTGGTTTAATGCTTAAGGTTTAAAGATTATCTCGGGGTGATAGTTTTGGGGATTCATCCAGGCTTAAAGGCTCTTGAAAAATCTAGATTCCACGATAATTTGTATTTTCTCCCTTTTGATCAGGATTCTTCTATAGCATCTTTGATCAAAACATTCAGTAATGGTAATCGAGCACCATCTAGTTCTTCTGAACTCATGGCAAAGGAGGCAGTTATTCATGTCAGCAGTGGGCCACACATTCCATTTCCTCCTCCTTTTCCTGACTCTCCTTCTTCCTCTGTTGCTTCAGGTGAATAGAGACCAATAGTTGTACCTTGGGTGGCTGCTTGCAAGCTTTTAAGACCCCAGGCACAACACAGCAAACTAGGAGGTAGAACAGAAACACTAAACATGTTGTTAGGCCAATTAACTGAGACATCCCATGAGACCATGACCCTAAACCTCCAAACCAAGTGTCTTTGTCATCTAGTGCTGCTCTAACAGAAATACCACAAGTGGATGGCTTCAACAAAGAGAAATTTATTCTCTCACAGTCTAGTAGGCTACAAGTCCAAATTCAGGGCATTGGCTCCAGGGGAAGGCTTTCTCTTCTCAGCTCTGGAGGAAGGTCCTTGTCATCAATCTTCCCTGGTGGAGGAGCTTCTCTATGCAGGAACCTCAGGTCCAAAGGATGCGCTTTGCTCCCGGTGCTGCTTTCTTGGTGGGATGAGGTCCCCAACTCTCTGCTTGCTTCCCTTTCCTTTTATCTCTTGAAAGATAAAAGGTGGTGCAGGCCACACCCCAGGGAAACTCCCTTTACATTGGATCAGGGATGTGACCTTAGTAAGCATGTTACAATCCCACCCTAATCCTCTTTAACATAAAATTACAATCACAAAATGGAGGACAACCACACAATACTGGGAATCATGGCCCAGCCAAACTGATACACACATTTTTGGGGGACATAATTCAGTCCGTTACACCAAGAAACCAAATCTCATGAGGTGTTCGGTTGTACATAAGCAGCCTCAGTAGCTGCTCTTTTTTTTGTTGTTGTTAATGTAAATGTCTGTCATGCATTTGCCAATTCAACTTTTTACAGCTGTACAACTTATTGATATCAATTACATTAATCAGCTGTGCAACTCTTTCCCATAATCAATGTGATTTTTCCATCACCATAAACCAAAACTCAATGTTCCATAAGCAATAACCACCCTCTTTTCACCTCCCTCCCACCGCTGGTAATCACTAATAAATGTTGGTCTCTTTACATTTGCCTTTTTTGTCTTTTTATATAACTTTTATATAATTATAGATTTTAAGGGCTTTCTTCTGCTCTTGAATGATCTTGGTTTCCTCTGAGTTTCTTTGTTCTTCTGTTTTATTCTCTGACTCTTATGCCGGAGTCTTCCCTTCAATGTCTGCGTATCTTGGCTCTCTGTTCTTGTTCAGTGATTGGAAGCTCTGTGCAGGACTGGACCTGTCCGTGGGTGGGCTTCATTGTTGGCTAAGAACGTAGCAAGTTGACTTTCTCTTGGGTGGCTCCCAAATGTCATTATCTACAGGTCTTTTCTCGTGGGCCAGTCAGTTTCAGTATTCTGCTTGGGAACTGTAAACCTGGCTGTCAAAACTGTATGAGCTGAGAAGAATTCCTAGTTTCCCCTGTGATGGGCCAGCTATCTGGGTACTCCTCCTCCAAAGGCAGAATTAATTATTTTTTATCTATATTCCATAGTATTTTATACGAATATCAACTGTTGCACTTAAAACATTATATTGTACACATTCATATTTTTGTTTCCACAACTGGACTTGAATTTCCAGAGTTGAAAAGTTGGGATTTTTAACTCTCAATGCCTGGCATATAGAAGGTATTCCATATGTTTTAGTTGACTACATTTGAACTGGAGATCTTATGTCTCTGTATAATCCAAATGGAAAAAACAGAAAAGTAAAATTCTTTGGAGTGAGCTGTACTGGCAACTTGCAACATCATTTTATAATAGTAACAAGTCTTTCTTTTCCATGTAATATGTAGTTACAATATAGCATTGATTTATCAAAATACTTGTAGAATCATAGAATTTGAGTGGAAGATGTATCTTACAAATGGTTCCTTTGATTTGCAGGTGAAGAAACCATCCCTGCAGTTATGCCAGATTGCACATGTAGCTTTTATCAAAATTCTACCCAACAACCTTTGTGATGAGTATTGATGAGTATTAAACCATTTTACATTCCAGAGAAATACATTCTGGAAAAGAACACACTGTACAATGCATTTTAACCCAGACAAAACACCCTTAAACAATGTCAACCTGAGTTTAAAACTTTCGGGTGGAGTAAAACTTGGCTACTTGATGAGAGATAATTGTTAAATTCAAAGAGAATTTTAAACGCGAGGGAAGTATTTTACATGTTTTTGCTGAGATGATTTGAGCCATCAGCGCCATCAGAAGAACAATAAAGTGGGTTTATCCAGGTTTAATTGAACTTCTTCTCTTTCATAGGTTTCAAAACCTGCTTTGGTCCAGAAAGACATTTGTGGACAACATGAAAATCTATAACCACAGTTACATCTACATGCCTGCCTTTTCTATGAAGACAGGAACGGAGCCATCCCTCCGAGTTTATTATACACTGTCTGACGTTGGTGCCAATCAAACAGTGCTTTTTGCTAACCCCAACTTTCTGCGTAACATTGGAAAGTTCTGGAAAAGTAGGGGAATTCATGCCAAGCGCCTGTCCACAGGACTCTTTCTGGTGAGTGCAGCCCTGGGTCTTTGTGAAGAGGTGGCCATCTATGGCTTCTGGCCCTTCTCTGTGAATATGCAAGAGCAGCCCATCAGCCACCACTATTACGATAACGTCCTGCCCTTTTCTGGCTTCCACGCCATGCCAGAGGAATTTCTCCAACTCTGGTATCTTCATAAAGTTGGTGCACTGAGAATGCAGCTAGACCCGTGTGAGAACACCTCACTTCAGCCCACTTCCTAGGGACTATGGAAGAAGAAGGAACTGAGCCAGGGTATTTTTGTTAGGTTTTCTACGTGACTCCAAAAGAAAATGGTCAAGTTGTTTCATGGATTTGCATGGGCCACTTGAAAAGACAAAAAAAAAAAAAGGGCAACAACAAAACCCGAAGGAAAACTCTACTTTTGATATTGGCTTAGAGGATAGATAAGAAAAAAAGTCCTATGACATATTTTATAGCACATTGTGGATTTTCAGCTGTAAAATGCTAATGAAATGATGATGTTTACATGGTTCAAATCTAGAAGATACAGTGCAAAACCAAGATGGAGCTCTAGTTATTGAGGCCGAAGGACTAATTGAGATAGAATAAATGGAATGCCAGAGAAGAGTGTTGCTGATCATCCACACAAACTGGCTTAATTAAAACCACGACAACAACAACAACAAAAACCTATCTTATTAGGTTTAGAACTATAGAGGGTTTTTTAATTATTATAATTTATTTTTGCCCTATTCAGGGGCAGTGGGTGGGTGCTGGTGTAGATTTAAAAAAAAAAATCTCTTACTGAGTAATAAGGATATAAAATGCTACACCTGATTATTGTGATTTGTTGAACCAAGTCTATGTTAATTATGTTGTGTTGTTAGGTGCTGTCGAGTTGGTTTCGACTCATAGCGACGCTGTGTACAACAGAAAAAAACACTGGTCCTGCACCATTCTCGCAATCATTGCTATGTTTGGCCCATTGTTGCAGCCACTGTGTCAATTCATCCCCTTGAGGGTCTTCCTCTTTTTCACTGACCCTCTACTTTACCAAGGATGATGTCCTCCTCCCGGGACTGGTCCCTCCTGATAACATGTCCAAAGTATGTGAGACGAAGTCTCACCATCCTTGCTTCTAAGGAGCATTCTGGTACTTCCAAGACAGATTTGTTCATTCTTCTGGCAGTCCATGGTATATTCGGTATTCTTCACCAACATCATAATTCAAAGGCATCAATTCTTCAGTCTTCCTTATTCATTGTCTAGCTTTTGCATGCGTATGAGACGATTGAAAATACCATGGCTTGTGTCAGGTGCATCTTAGTCCTCAAACTGACATCTTTGCTTTTTAACACTTTAAAGAGGTCTTTTGCAGCAGATTTGTCCAATGCAATGCATCATTTGATTTCTTGGCTGCTGCTTCCATAGGCATTGATTGTGGATCCAAGTAAATTGATATCCTTGACAACTTCACTATTTTCTCTGTTTATCTTGATGTTGCTCATTGGTCCAGTTATGATGTTTTTTTTTTTTTTTAATGTTGAAGTGTAATCCATACTGAAGGCTGTGGTCTTTGATCTTCATCAGTAAGTGCTTCAAGTCCTCTTCACTTTCAGCAAGCAAGCAAGGTTGTATAGTTCCCCTTCATTTTAAAAAATTTGAAATAAGAATTGCTTCCTCCCCTTTAGTCATGTCTGCTTAGGCAATGTGACCGTGTTGATTCTGTTAGTCTGGATAACAAGAGTCACTTTCTCTCCTCCTCAAAATTTAGGGCATAAACTCAAATTTTAGATCCACATTATGTAAGCCTGTTTGCATTGTTATTAGTATTTTAGTACAAAAAGAAAGACTACAAATGTGAGTGCTTTATTTATTTAAAAATTGTCATGATTGTTTCATAATTTAAGGTTTAGAGATGAAGTAAAGCACAATGAAGTAAATTTTAGCCTTGGTGGAAGACAGGCTATAAGACACATCCTTTTTTCTATCTACCACACTAAGAGCATATGCATGCACACACATCACCATGCACACACACACACACACACACACACACAGAGGTAAACAAAACTCACTCCTGTGTGACTATAAAAGCTGCATCCACATGGCCTGGTATGGCAAAAAGCTGTAACCAATGTTGGAGAGCCACAAATCTATTATGTATTATCCACTACATAGTGTTAGAAGACAAGCCAGATTCCTGGTTGTTTCTCATAATGCCCATACCAGTATGAGATGCAAGTCTTACCCTAAAATGATTACCTAGGATGAGCAGACTTGTTTTACTCATTCTGACTTCCCAAGTACATCATGAATGGACCCTGTGCTGACCATGGTCACAAACAGCAGGGTTCATACAAGTAAAGGCATGTGAACTAGCTATTTCTTCCCTAGTAGCCAGTAGGACTACTTAGAAAGCTTGTTATACCAAATCTGACACACAGCAAGAAAACTCTAGTGCTCACAAGCTGCTGAATGTGTTTACATGTAAGAGAAAGGTAAAGGAAACCTCTTGTTGTTTTTTGTGCTTTGGATGCTTTAAGCTAAAAGGAGACATTAAAACTTACTACCTTTATTATTTTAAAAGTCTTCAGAATGTAGCTAAACTGTGTGAAAAAATTCTGCTTCAATTTTGGTATTAGAAACTTAGTATACCATAAAGTTAAAACAAGTGACATATTTTGGTGGGTTAACTTACAAGAGATCAAGATAAAAAAAGCGTCTTGGAAAATTTCTACATCGTTGGCCTAGGCAATTTCTAAATGTGATTGAATAGTGAGATTATTATCACAGTTAGCAATTACAATATGACTGGTTGCCATAACAGATTACATTACTACTTAGAAAGTTAAGAATTTCAGAGTATTGATTCTGTACAGTCCTGGTTTGCTGTTTTGATCCTATATAGTAGCAAAAATGTAATGAGAGTGTAATGTGAATCAGCTTTGTTAAACAGTCGCTATATGTGCAATCCTGAATGTATTTCCTCTTTTGAACTATTGTTGTTTGTTACCTAAAAAAGGGAATGCATTTTTATCTCTACACCCCATCAGAAATATAAAAGGACTGACAAAAAATACATACAAATGTTATTAAAATATGTCATTCAGATTAGTGCTTTATTTGTTAAAATTGTTAAAAATGTTAGTTAATGAGCATCAGAGAGCCCATGCATCAGAGTTCTATTGAAAGTGATGTCAGGAAATTTTACATTTTGTTGTGATTCCTGAGATAGAGTTATGCAATTGGTTTGTGCAATGTTAGTCTGTAAATTTGTGCAAAACCATTCTATGTGGCTTCTGAAAGGCAAAACAGAAATGATCAGAGCTAATAATGTTTGGGAGCCCTTGTGGTGCAGTGGTTAAGAGCTCGGCTGCTAACCAAAAGGTCAGCAGTTCAAATCCACCAGCTGTTCCTTGGAAACCCTATCGGGGCAGTTCTACTCTGTCCTATAGGGTCACTAGGAGTCACTCAAAGGCACCTGATAACAGCAACAGTAATATTTGACGAGACAAGTCCTTCACAAATAGGTGTAATTTTGGCTTCTTCCCTACTCCAGGGACAATGGGTAATATCTGGAAACATTTTTGATTGTCATGACCCTGGGGGTGCTACTGGCATCTAGTGAGTGGAGGCCAGGGATCCTGCTAAACACCCTACAATGCACAGGTCAGCACCTCACAACAAAAATTGCCTAGTCTAAAATGTCAGTAATGCCGAGGTTGAGAAACCTAAATTATACCAAAATGAGATTTTGATTCTTCCACAGTGTCTTCACTTAAGGATACACATACATGCTCCTGTATGATTACAATTGAATGAGAATGTTATCTTAATTATAGTTTGGCATTACTTTATAGTGACATCTCATACATACGCCCTTTTCATTGGCTAGATGAAAACAAAAACAGAAAGCAAACTCACTGTCAAGTCAATTCTGACTCATAGTGACTCTATAGGACAGAGTAGAACTGCCCCCTAGGGTTTCCAAGGAGCGGCTGGTGGGTTCAAACTGCTGACCTTTTGGTTAGCTGCTGTAGCTCTTAACCACTACACCGCCAGGACTCCATAGATGTATGTAAACATAGAGGTGTGTGTGTATATGTAGTGTGATATTATGTATCTATATTTTAATTGAAATATATGTGTCCCTAAGTGAAGACTCCTCTAGAGTTACTTGTAGAGTACTCTGGAATACTCTATTAATGTGAAGATATTGTATTCTAAATTCCCATTATTTTACTTTCTCTGAAAATAAGACCTTCAGGGTTGGGCCTTTTACTTCGCCAAATTTGGTCAAGCGTATTTTAATATTACTGACCCTTAAAATTCAGCTCAGAAGATATTCCGGTTTTGGTAGACACATTCAGTAAGAAAATATTGCATCACTTTGATACATCTGCCAAGAGAAGGCATCACCCTTTCATAGCAGTCTTAATTTTTCAACTGATTTTTAGTAACAAAAATTAGGTTGTCCCATGCGGACATAAGAGAGAGTGGAGAGGCTGAAAACAGGTACCTGGTATGACTTTTAATTTGTATTAGCCCCAGTTTGAGAATTGCATTAACTCTGAGGATCATGAATAAGCATGACTTCTGTTTAATTTTAATTGTACTTCAATAAAATTAAGATGGGTGAAGAATTCAGTCATTCCATAACAAAAGTAACTTTTTATATGAAAGATTTTTTTATATGGAAGAAGACTTCTAGACACATAAGCCTTATATATTTTACTAACAGCTTACACAACACTGTGCACGTAAGCTGCAATTCACATGCAAAGACATCCCTGTATTTTGTTTCTGTACAGTTCGCTTTTAGTTATTTTAACAAGGAAGCAAGTAAATAATCTGTAATGGCAGACATTTAGACAATGCCCTGTGTCGCTTTGTGATATTTAATGCCCTTCCCTTGGCTAAAAACTTTGTTTAGGCTAGATATAGCTTGCACTTGAAGCAATTTGGACAACATGGCTTAAATATCTACATGTAAAATAACAGACTGCAGAAATCCCGGGATTCTAAATTTGCCAAAAAACATTCTTGGATTAGGCAAAACTTTCATAGGAAGGTGATGGATGATTCAAAATGGAAAAGATATCAGTAATGTTTCTTCTTGTCAGTAACTATGGTAGTTTAATAATTTTGTTATATAAACCACCTATTTCTTTTTTTGAAAGCCAGCCACCTATAGTTTTAATTTCTATGTTTGAGAATATTGACTTTTTGAAAATTTTAAATGTCAAATCCATGTAAAAAAAAAACAAAAAAACAAATCCTGTTGCTGTTGAGTTGATTCTGACTCATAGTGACCCCATAGGACGGAGTAGAACTGTCCCACTGAGTTTCCAAGGAGCGTCTGGTAGAC